TTTTACAAATATATATATATATATATATATATTATATATTTTGTATGACATGCACTTTTTATTTTTGCGACTTACATGTGTCATATTATAATAATTTTTAACTTACAACATATAACTACATTAAAAATAAATATATCATTGATAAAAATTTTTTATTTTTCTAATAAAATTTTATAAATATTATTATTCTTTATTATTATAAAGATAAATATAATTTAATATTTCATATATACAATATGGATGTCAAATCGAAGATCATCAAAAGATGATTAATTTGATATATAATATATGTAAAACCGATAAGAAATACAAAAGTTATCAACTTTTAAAATACATTTACAATTCAATAGTTAATTGAAGGAAACAAATCAAAGTCAGTGATATATTAGTCACTTAGTGTCTCAATATTTTAAATTACAAATAATTATAGGGTTATATTAGTACAAATGATAGTAAAATACCTAAGTTAGATAAATAATATTTATGAAATGTCCGAACCTAAATTATTAATTATTAATATATTAATATTATGTGTCCAAACCTAATTACGAAGCATGATTCTTTGCCAAGTAGGATTACGAAGCACCAGAAACAACCACGTAGGCTTAGCACATTCGGGAATTATATATAGGGAGGATGTAAAACTGATAAAAAATACAGAAGTTATTAACTTTTAAAGTATATATATAATTCAATAGTTATAATAAGGAATGCTATTAAAATGCAATTAATACATGTAACATGACCATAAATAATCAACATATTTATGGTAATCCGAACCTAATTATTTTTTGTTTGGAATTAAATTAAAATTTACCCAAGTCTAATAACAAAGCATGTAATTTTGCCACATATGATTCTGAAGCACCAGAAGCAACCACATAAGCTCAGCGCGTTCTGAATTAATATATAGGGGGAGGGGGATTGGGGACAAATAATTGCACAAAAGTTTAAATCCATTACTAAAAAATATTGGATACATATACGGGAAACATTATATGCAATCCTTTGGATCTATAAAACCATATATATTTGCGAAATAACATATTTATTGGCTAAATAAAACACGAATTAATCCTAATATAAAAAGTGAAATTTAATAATTATCTAAAAGTTTCATTAATATTATTGTTATTATTATTTATTACTATAATTTTTAACTACTAGTTCAGTTTTAATCTCACTATCCCAAAATTTCCCAAAAAAATAAAAATAAAAATAATAATAATAATTAAACAAAGTTTCCCAAATATAATGTGTGCGGTAAAAAAGAGTTTTTTAATCCCTTAAAGTGACCTTGTTTTTTTTATTTCAGTCCCCTTAAGAGTATAATTTTAGATTTTGTCATTTGAGTGAAAAAAATTAACATTTTAGAAAGTTAAGCTTTATTATTTTTTTTTTCTTGCAACTACTATCATGTTATTTTTTTTAGGCATAAGATTAATAATGTCTAAATGTATGAGAATTTATTCTTTTGTTTTAACTGAATAATTAAATAATGGTTTGAATTTTTTACCTAAACTTTATCAATTTTAACTATGTGGATTTTTTTGTTTTTCAGTGAAGATATGTTTAGTGAAATATTTGTCGGAAATGCACATCAAATAGTATCTTATTTAAATCTTAACATTTATTTGTCATATGTCTTGCTAGTAAGTTATAAATCTTGTCTCCGCTCTTTTTCAATCTAAGATAAGAACTCATACCTATTTTTGAAATCATTGATATTTACTTAATCTTAATTAGAATAAATGATTGACATATTCATTCATCAATTAACAATTGTTCTAGACATCGCTAGGCGCCCGTTAGACACTTGATCAGTGTCTAGCGCCTAGACGGGGCCTAGTCGGCGCTTGAGCGGGGTCTAGAAATCGAGATTAAATTTATTACCTACAAAAAAAAAATATCTCAACTTACAATAAATCAACACAACTTAGTCCAAATAATAATGTTAATATATATTATAAAGAAAATATTATAACAAAATAATGTAATTAATATTTTTTTTTAAAAAAGAATTGCCGCCGAGCACGCTTAGGTCCGCCTAGGCTCCGCCAAGCCCGTCTAGGTCTGCCTACCTAGGCGCTACCTAACCGTCTGACTGATTTCTTTTAGCCGATTTATAGAAATCAGAGGTGGTCGGGCAGCGCCGCATAAACCGATTTTTATACAGGCACTTTCTATCATCTATCATCTTATCATTAAAAGGGTTTACCCAACAAGTCAAGATTCTTGTCCTCCGGAGTGTGTATACTAGGATTGGGTCATAAATCATAATAATTCTTAGGAACAGTTTTTTCCATAGTGAAACGCAGTTTTGTCAAAATGTGTTGTTTTGCTCTAATATTACTTCATTATGTAATGGTACCAAACACCCACGACTGATTTGGACCTTATTTCAGAGTTCAACTTTCGGTGGAATGGTATGATGTCTACCATAATAAAGGACACAGTACAAAAAGAAACCTTTTCGACTATACATACAAGAAAAATGTTACAAGTACACAATAAATGTACATAAAGGTGTAAATAACACCCACATTGAGTGGGATCCACTTGATTTTTTACTTTTGGTAAGACCGACTTAGCGTGAGTGTTATGTACGCCTCTATACAGTTGAATCTGGACCATTTTTCTTTACAACAAATATTATTGAAATTCTTCCATCTACTAAGATAAAATTAATACACATATAACTATTTTTTTTTCTAATAAAATTAATTAATTACCCAGTTCAACAATTGACTATGATTCAGACCAGCCCAAGCCAATCATCATCCGCGTTTTAAAACTGTGGTTTTTATGTCTTGTACTTTATTTCCAACAATTAAAAACTCTTCATCAGCACTGCATCGAATTACTTATGCAAATTTCTTAGGTTAACAAGAACAGTGAAAAAAGCAGGGTATTTTCTTTGTGGTCCTCTAGATATAATAAATTATGAATTTTTTCAATACAAAGCCTGAAAGATAGGTAAATTATCAATTTGGGTCCTGGAAGATTTTTTTTCTTAATTCGGGACCTAAATGTTATAAAACTATAAAATTATGTCCTACAATTAACAACACTCATAAAACCACTAAATTGAGAGTTAATTGAAGTTTTAAAACACCAAATTTGTTTTTTTTTTTTAATATTAAGCAAATGTTTACTTATTATTTTATGTGAGTAAGCAACAACCTTTTATTTTTCTTCAAATTTGGTGTTTTTAAAACTTCAAATTAACTCTCAATTTAATGTTTTATGAGTGTTGTTAATTGCAGGACTTAATTTGATAGTTTTGTAACATTTAGGTCCCGAATTGAGAAAAAAATATTTCAGGTCCCAAATTGATAATTTACCCATCTTCAAGATGACCCTGTATTGAAAAAACTCTAAGAAATTACATGCCATATTTTCACATGGTTCTTATCTCATACATATATATCATTAATACACACATTGTTTTGTGCTTTGTAACTACTTATATTTATATAACAAAAACAGGCATTATCGAATGGGAAGTACAAGAGTTGCCTCCACAGGGCAGTGGTGAACAAGGAGAGAGCCAGGATATCCATAGCCTTCTTTGTAAACCCAAAAGACCACAAAATTGTGAGCCCCCCAAATAATCTCGTAGCAGCGGCGATGAGGGAGTACCCGGATTTCACATGGTCGGATTTTAAAAAATTCTTACTGAACCACTACAGGGCTGACGGGACTTCGCTCCAAAACTTCGTCCACTGGCTTTCAGACCAAAACAAGACGAACAATTAAACTCAAATAATTAATATATATTTCGAA